GGGGCACGCCCGTTGACGCGCCCGTGAAGAGTCCACACCCACGCCCACCAGGCACGCGCCCGAGGTGTACATCGTCTGCCGCGCGCCCGCGGCGGCGGCGGTGGTGGCGTCCAGCTCGAGACGCTCGCGGCGCTGGCAAAGTCGTCACGGTCGCCGCCGCCCACGCTGCACCTCGTGGCGGAGGGCGAGGCGCCGCCCGCCGGCTGCGCAACGGACGTGATCGACGCGAGCCTCGAGGTGCCGCGCGCAGCGCTGCACGTGGCCGCCAGCTCGCTGCCTGGCGGCGGCCGCCTCACGCGCCCGCCGACCCGCGCGCAGGTGCACGTGCTGCTCAAGGGGCTGATCGACCTCTCGCGCGAGGTTGCGCGGCTGCAGAAGGAGGCGGCCGCCGTCGAGGGCCGCCTCGCCAAGCTGCAGGCCAAGATGGCCATGCCCGAGTACGCGACCAAGTGCAAGCCGCAGCAGCAGCAGGAGGACGCGGCGAAGGCGCAGGGGTGCGAGGGCGAGCTCGCCGCGATCGGCCGCGCGATCGCGCAGTTCGAGGCCGCCGCGTGAGGGGGGGGGGGGGGGTTCGAGGCGGGAGAGGCGCGCGGGAGGCGCTTCGTGGGCCACATGGACGCGCGCAATATCTAGTCGGTGTCACTATACTGGGTAGACTACTCACCCCACCCTTGCTTTTGGTGTGTTCGAGAGCCCACCTACAAATGCAAATGTTGGTCTCCGTGTTTTCAGGAGAAGTGAACAATCTCCGGCCGGAGCACGCGCGAGATAACGCGAGCAGCGCAGCGCGCGCGGCGGGCATGTTTTGCGAGTATATGGGACAAAAGCGTCGAAAATGTCCCAAAAAAGCGTGTCTCGAGTTTGTGGCAGCCCCACAGCCGGCGCGCGCTGCCAGGAAGCACCGCTCGCGTGTCGGCCGCACTCCCTGGCACCCGGTGAGTGCGGCCGACCGACCAGACCGATTAGGCTCGACGCCGCGCTCGCTGTGGGGCTGCCACAAACTCGCCGCCGAGCGTGCCACCGACGGCGTCCCGGCGGAGGTGATGGAGTGTGAGACCTGAGGCTGCGGAGGTGACGCCTGAGGTACCGGGCCGTGCACGGCGACTCAGCCTGCGACCGCCACGGGCTCAGACGAGACTTGTCGACGCGTTCCGGCTCAGCTTCACCGTGGTCCTCGGGCGTCTGTCGACGTCAGGACCACCCATACAGCTCGCGGGTTTGAGGTCGCAAGAGCCAAGATGGTGGCGTTTGGACATCCCAACCATCACACAAGACAGCCTGTAGGTGGTGGCGGGACGGCGCAGTGTTTGTGGCACTCGGCAGTAGGCACCCGCGGCAGGCGCCTCGGCGCGCGCACGGCTCGCAAAGTTCGAACGAGTACTGCCGCCCGGCCGCCTCAAGGCTGCCGGGCGGCAGTACTCGCCTCGCAAGGCGCGCACCGGCTGCTCTGGCTGCTGCGCCGGCGGCCGCTGCGCTGGCCGCTGCTGCGCCGGCTGGCGGGCGATACGGCCGCCGGCGGCCGCTGCGCCCGCGCCTTCCCTCGCGGGCGCCGTCGCGCCGCGCGCGCCCAATTCTGCTGGCACACGGCACGCGTCGTCACTCAGCCGCGGAGAACAGGCGGTGCTGTGCGCGAAGCGCGCGCGATCTCGTACTTTTAAGGCTGGATCCGGCCATTCCAAGGGTATACCTTTGAGAATCCCCAGCGTCCCACCCTCCTAGTCACACTCTCAATATCTCGACTATCCAACATGAAGTGCTGCGATCGGGAGTGCCCCATTTCTTTTTTCCTTTCTTTTTTTGGGTCCTGTGGGCACCCTAAGCCCCGTCTACCCCCGTCTACCGGTAGACGGTAGACGGGCCACCCCTCAGATTATAAATTCGGGTCAAAAAAAGAATTCTCGCATAAAAAAGAATTCTCGGACGCGTTTCAGGCTCCTCCTTCGCTGTCCCATCTCCTCATCTCTTTCCCGCCTGGGCGGGGCGGCGGGCGGGCGCGCGCCGCGCGGTGCGGAGCGGCGTGTGCGTGTGGGTGTGACTGCGACAAGGCTCAAGGGGCCACTCGCAAGGGTGAAGGGAGCGCGGGTCGCCGCCGTGTCTCTCGCTGTGGCGCGTCCGCATACCGGTTACCGCTAGCGCAAAAGCCAAAAAGGTACACGTAGTAATATACACAGGCCTACAGGCCTACACTGCAAACAAATACCACACAAACCCGATTGTCACGAGGCCACTAGAGCCGCACCGATTGCTGAGCTGGCATTGCCCTCCGGGCAGTCTCTTGAGCAGCCGAGGTCGTCCACCGCGCAGAGAAGCCGCTGGCAAAAGACGCCGAGCGTGGCGCCCGTCTCGTCGGGGCAGCGTGGGCCGGACGGAGTCGCGTGTGGCAGTGGCACAACAGTGTCTGGCCGGCACGGCATCTCGAGGCCGCGCACCCAAAAGGCCACCCGCAGGCCGTACGCCTTGAGCGTGAACTGGAGGTCGAGGTGCCACGTGCCGCTGCCCAGGTCGTGCCCACACCGGCCCATAAAGTAGAGGTAGTCGTCCAGCAGCCGCTCCGCGCCGAGGGACGGCACCGGGGTGAGGACGAAGCTGGTGCTCGAGACGCCTCCCGCGCTCACGGCAACCTCGGTCGCCACGCCACGTGACATCGGGCCATGTGCGCCGGCGCGGTACGCGTCGATCTCGATCGCGCTGAGGCGGAGCGTCCAGAGGTTGGACGAGTCGAAGCTGACGGGCACCACGAGGTGCACGGCCGCAGACGGAGGAATGGTCGAGACCGACAGCCCTGCCGTGATTCGGAGGTAGTGCACGCAGACGACCAGCAGCCGCGGCCAGAAAACGAAGGCGCACGCGCCGAGCGCGACGACAAGAACCGCGCAGCACGAGCAGGAAAGCGCGCGCCGCCTGCCACACCTTTGGGTGCGAGGCGGAGTCGCGGCAGGATCGCAGTCGTGGTGCTGGGATGGCTCGCCGACGAGGCTGACGCGTTGCGAGGTGGCGGTCTGCTCGGTCAACATGGGCGGCTGGCGCCGAGTCATTACTAGGGCTCAACACGTAGCCGGATCTGATTGAGTGCGCTTGCGAGAGGCTTCTGCTGTGGGTTGAATGCCGGTACCCGTACGCGGATCCAGGAGCCCTTGTCACAGCAGACTGGCGCCAAGATTGCCTGCACGCTGCCCGCACTACGCGGGACTCCATACCCGAAAGAATTAAAAAAAGAACTCTCTCTCACAGCAGACAGGCTCGACACAGGTGCGAACTGGCGCGTGCTAGTACTATCACCGGCACACCACCGGAGCCGCCTAAGCGACTCCGTTAAGAACGGCAATGCACTTAGCTCCGTGCACCCGAAAGAATTCTACCATATAAGCCCCTCTCACAGCAGACGGCTCGGACTGGCGCTACAAATGGCACAGCAGGCGACGGCCCCTTACGGGTCGTCAAAGAGGCCGGCGTACTCCTCCGGCCGCTCCTCCCCCTCCCAATCCTCCCCGGGCTCTGGCTCCTCCTCCTTCGCCCGCGCCCTCGCCCCCCGCCGGCGGCGGTTCCGTGCGGCCGTCGCCCCCGCCCCCTCCCCGCCCCCATCACGGCCGGAGCCGTACCACCCAGCGCGCACGAGGAACGAGGACTGAGCCTCAACCTCGTCCACCCTCACCGCCCTCACGGCGGCGTCGCACGCCTCAGCCCGCGAAGCGCCAGCAGCATGCGCCGCGGCGTACGCCGCGTCGCCTACCGCCCGTCTGCCTCGCGAGAGACGCGGCGCGCCACTCGTCCTCCAGCTCCGCCGAGTCCCATAGCGGCCCCGAAAGAAAGAGAGGGGAACTCAGAGGTGACGAGAACATCTGCACTGACCTCGGTCTCTGGCCGTTGGAGGAAGTTGGAGCAGGGCAATGGTCGCGCCGCCCTCGACTCAAGGGGCTGCCTTCCATCCGCCGCTGCCCAGGCCGGGGGAGGGGGGGAGACCTCCTGTTCCTCGCGGAACGGGAGCCCCTCCTTGCCCGGTCTGCGATGCAGGGCGGTGGTAGTGCCATCTTCGTATGTGATATGAGAGGGAAAAGGCTACTCTGCACACTTTAAACACATTTTGACGCGCTAGGAAGCGCCATGAATATCATTTGAAGTGCTCTCTTTGGTCTGTGCACTGTGGAAAGTGAAAGGGGTCGCTTATTCGCAGCTCTTTACGCGGCGGTCGGCGCGGATGGATGGAGTGGTGACTTTCGCCGGCAGCTTTCGCAGCTTTAGGGCAGCCCTGTGAAAAGGGGGTGCTTCGCGCAGCTTTAGCGCCAAAAGTGGCGCGAAAGTGCTTTCGCTGGAGGCTTAAGCCACTTTTGCAGTTTCAGCCCTAAATCCCGGGTCACTTTCGCGTACGTACTATCCCCTCGGGGCCGTGCCGCGCCACATCAGTCATCCCACGCGCATCATCCGCCATCCGCGAACACGACAGCACCGTTTGCACGCCCGACTTGTTTGGCTGCAGGAAGACCACGCCAGAGTTCAGCTCGGGAAACGCGAGCGGCACCTCGAACGCAGCCCTCCATGATGAGTTTCTCACGTACGTGCTGCCGTCATGGTTGATGGCCATCGCGAAGTCGTAGGTACGCAGAAAGGCGCGGCCAGCCAGATGAAAAAGTTGCGGTTGGCTGTGGCAGGCGATGGCATCCGTGTCGAGGAACAGCGAGAGTCGGTAGGGAGCGGCCATGAAGGCCGTGATTTTCAGCATCCTAGTCGTCGTCTTGTCGAGTGTGCTCCCACCACGGGTGAGGAAGCGCTCCCAGAAGGCCTTCAGCTTGTGCCGCGCGGTGGCCACTGTTTGGGAGTGCTGGCTGCGCGACGCCAACTCCAGCGAAGCTTGCTCTGCGGAAACGCACGCCACTGTCGCTACGATGGCCTCGCACGTGGCGAGCGAAGCGTTCGTGGTGAAGACAGTGCTGGCGTGAAGGACGTTGACGGCCCGAACGGATTGTGCCAGCTCGTTCCAGTACATTTCAGCCCCAACCACGGCCCAGACGACGCCTTCCGAGAGGGCGTCGGCGTTTGAGCTTGGAGCCCTGGTGCTGTCATCCGACTCCAGCGGGCGCGACTCCGCGCGAGTGCTGGACGCTTGCGGGTGGAGCTTGTGTCGGTGCCTCCGACCACTTGCGAGAGCGAGAGCTGCAGTGCCGGTGCCGGTGTGTCGTTGCGAGAATCCACGGGAGACATCAGGCGCATCCGGAGCAGGCGAGCACGGTGGCGCGCAGTACTGCCCAGCACATGTGTGCACATGCAGCGCGAGAAGGAGCAATGCGCGCTGCATGGTTGCGCTGTGCGAGCCGTCCACGTGGCGTGACCGGGCTACCCTCCCAGTCCTTGGCGTAGCTCAGCTCCTGCGGCTGCTGCGCCCTCGCCAGCCGTCGTGTGGCCTGTTGCCTTCAATGACCGTTGCCTTCCCTGCGTCTAGGAGCGCGCCACAACGCGAGGTGGGCCTCGTGCCCGCGCAAAAGCGGCGCCCGCCGAAATCCCTGCTTTTCTTTCTTTCCGTAGAATTCTTTCTTTCCGGGAGATCATTTTAGGAAGGGGGAGCTCATGGGCGGAGCATGCTCGCGGGGAGCTTCCGAGACATCTCACTATACCCCGCACGTGATGATCGTCCGGAATTCGATCGCTCGCGGCCGGGGAGACTGCTTGCTAGGGCCGAGCAGCGCAACCAACGTGACCAGTCAGTCAGTGGTCGTGGCTGAACACCCTCACAGCTCACAGCTAAAGTCACTCATTATCCTGCGCGCCGGATCGCAGGCCACTCACTGAGAGAGACGAGGTCTGAGACGCGGCGCCCAGTCCCCAGAGCGAGCGCGCGCGCTTTTAGTTAGCGCTCCATCAGCATTACCGCGGCGTCCGGCGCGCCGCCGAGGGCGACGACGTACGCGTCGGCGACGTGCATGTTCCAGAGGCAGGGCGGATACGAGGGGGAGGAGCCGGAGAGGAATTGGATCGGCTTCTCGGCGGAGGAGCCGTCGTTGGCGTCGGTGATGACGATCACGTCACCCTTGTTGTGGAACATCGGCACGCAGCAGCCGCCCGCGCATAGCGACTCACCCGTGCCAACCCTACCACATACGCGGCAGTGGGAGAGCACACCAATCGTTGGTGGAATAGACTGGTTGGTGCGCAAGGGCTATCTCCCCTCACAGTGCACAAAGTGGGGGAATGGGGAGGGAAGGGTGGAGTCGCACCACTTGCCGGTCGACGGGTCCTTCTCAAATTTCGGCACGTTTGCGAATGGCCCAAACCCACAGTAGGGGATAAGTGGGCACGGCGAGATTGGCGCGAACCCGAAGACCTTCATGTTGTTAAACTGCATCTTGTCGCCTTGGATGTCAACATTGAAGGTGAAGGACATGGTGCCGCAAGAGATGACGTTGAACATACCCTTTGCAAAACCTGGGAGTGCGAGGATCGCGTGAGGGCTCATGTGTGAATCGCACAGTCCATGTGCGGACATGCGTGTGATGCTGACCGCCGATGGGCGCAATCGTCAGCGTCTTGCCGGAGAGGTCGTAGGTGCTCGTCTCCATGCTGTCACCTGCCGGGCCGCAATTTTCGCGAGCGCCGGGAGGCAGGAGCCGCAGAGCCGACGGTCGTCGAGAGCAGCGATTTCTGTCCCCCCGAAGAAGAAGAAAACGCGCTCGCGTTCTCGGATTTAAATCCCAAAAAATTCCCACTCCTTTCTTAAAGCGCGTCCTGCCACCCGTCGCGAGCCTTTCTTAAAGCGCGTCCTGCCACTCGCCCGTCGCGAGCGAACTGCCGCAGCCGCGTACACCGACGCGGGCGGACACGACACACGTGAGAAGCTGTGGGTGGTCCGCTCCCAGTCTGGGCGTGGTCGAGACCGAGGTGTCGAACTGAGAGCCACTCCTGGAGGCTGCCTCCGGCCACCGCTCGACTACCCACGCACATGGCCGGTCCTGTGGCTTGCCTGGGCTTGCTCAGATAGAAGCCTCAATTCGCGCACACCTTTGCTCTCTGGCTCCCGCGAGTGCGTTTAGGCCACTCAAGCAGGCGACGCCGAGCACCCGCAACGCATCTCGCTGGGGCGCCACCTATCGACCCGACTGATTGGCAGCATCAAAGCCGACCCCATGACGGTCCTTCAGCCCCATGAGACAGGCAGTTGCGCCCTGATCTCGGTCCAAGACGGCCAACGCCATGTCCGGCACCTGCTGGCTGCTTCACGGGGATGTGCCCCCCCCGGACACATGCTGCAGCCCCGAGTGGATGTATTGGTCGTTTGTGGGTCCCACAAGACTACTCTAGTAGGGGCCGGGCGCTGGAGCGTCGGCGGTACACCTGTGCAGATGTTGCACGGGTGAAATGGCTCCTCGTACAGGGTAGGAGGCAGGTGGGTGAAATTCTGAAAAACGTGCAGCACTTCTAGCCGACATCGACAAAAGTCACTCTCTAGCCCCGCGGCGAGCGGCCCCGCCGGAGGCGAAGAAAATTTTGCCATCTAGCGCTCTCTAACACACATTTTTGCACAAATCGACGCCTCCAAACAAGTTCAATAAGACTGGTCTTCACTGCAGCACGCCTCGAGCGAGTAATGCGTCTGTAGGCCAATATAATAGAGCTTCTCGCGCGCGCTCCTCAGCTGGCGGTCCGCAGGGCCGCCCGGGCCGGGCGAGAAGCGCAAGCCCGCCAGCCGCACCATGTGATTCACGATGATGAGCGTCTCGGCCTCGAGCAGCGTGTAGGAGCGAAGCTTGCCCTCGCACTCGCGTTGCTCGAGCCTGGCTCGGCTTGAGACAAGTTAGCATCCCCCACACCGCCTCGAGCTTGCACGTTGGCCAGCGGTCGTCGGCTGCTCGTGTTGGTGGCCTCCGGCTCCGACTCCAGCGGGCGCGACCCCGTCCGAGTGCCGGACGCTTGCGGGTGGAGCTTGTGTTGGTGCCTCCGACCACTTGCGAGAGCGAGAGCTGCAGTGCCGGTGCCGGTGTGCCGTTGCGAGAATCCAGGGGAGGCATCGGGCGCCGCAGGCGCATCCGGAAGAGGCGAGCACGGTGGCGCGCACTTCTGTCCAGTCGCAGATGTGTGCACAGGCAGCGCGAGAAGGAGCAATGCGCGCTGCATGGTTGCGAGCCGTCCACGTGGCGTGGCCGCTACCCTCCCTGTCCTTGGCGTAGCTCAGCTCCTGCGGCTGCTGCGCCCTCGCCAGCCGTCGTGTGGCCTGGCGCTTTCAATGACCGTTGCCTTCCCTGCGTCTAGGGGAGCGGCGCAAAATGTGGCTCGTGCCACCTCCTGTACACGCGCAAAAGCGGCGCCCGCCGAATTTCAGTTTTCACGCGGGTTCTCATCTGAGACTGTGACTGCTCCTCCACCGCCATAGGTGGCGGTGATCGGCCTTCTTCGTCTCAAGCGGAGAATCACACACACGCGGACAGATTGCAGAACATAAGTGCGGCGCTGTCGGTACCAGCGTCAAGCCTTGTCAACCCCCCCCCCCCCCCCCGCCACGACGCGCAACCTCGCGCACGGCCAATATAAGATAGATACCCCCGCCGCCACCGCGCCTCGCGGCGACGACCACGCGCCACCCCTCCGCACGGCCACATCGGCACCCGGATCCGAACGACCGCGCCGAGCGAGCAAGCGCACGAGGGGAGGGGCCCGGGGAAGGGGGGGGCGCCACCCCGGGCCCCTCGCGCCCCCGACGCCCCCCTCGCCCCAATCCCCACCCCGGGGGGCCTGCCGGCGACGGCCCCCTTACCGCGACTTTGCCTGCGCCGCCTCGTCGAGCTCCCCCTGCGGAGGGGGCAGGGGAGGGGGGGGAGGGGGGTCTGCCGCGGCCAAACGGGGCAGGCGGCGGCAAAACGGGGCCGTCTCCCCACCACACCACACACCATACACCACACACCAAACGCCAGGCCACACGCCACACGACAAAAGCCCGGACGCCCGCACGCCCGCACGCCCGCACCTGGTTTGACTTTGCGACTTGCTCGACGAAGGGGACGACCAAAAACAAGACCTTGCCCCAGAAAGGGGGAGTGGGGCGGCCGCAAAGGGGGGGGGGGGGGGGGG